AAACCAAACTTGCCCAATTGCCAGGCTTCATTCTTCTCCAAAACAGGCTTATTCTTAAAGAAATATTTTCTCTCTTAAAGAAAAATTTTCTCTACTGCACACAGCAAATTAATGATAAAAATAATTATTATTTATCTAACACTCGAATGTTTGTGGTTATAAACAACTTTTATATACTTTTTTCCACTTGAACTTTAAAACAACCTGTGAGGTAGTCTATTATTAATTTCCATCTTGCAGATGAAGAAACCGAGGTTCAGTGAAGTTCCGTCACACAGTCTATAGAAGTGCCAAAGCAGCCTGTACTCAAACCCTTATTTCCAAATTTTAAATATAGGGGTCTTTCCACTAGTCTATGAAAACTATATTATGAAAAGTCTTCTAATGACAAAGGTTCTTGTTCTCCCTCACTCCTTAGGAATATGCTTGCTTTCACATCTGTTTACAGCCGAAGCAACAGCAGCCTTGCTATACCATCTTTCCAATTGGCCTCTATTCCCCTCCCCTCAGTGCCTCAAAGGTTCCTTCTTTCACAGGATCCAATTCCTGAGAAGAGACCATTCAAAGAGGCAGGAAGCAGCACATTTCCTCACTTATTTGGAACCTACTTAGCTAAGTGTGATTTTTTTCCCCCTTATTTCATATGCAAAAATTTTATTACACGTGTATGTTTCTGTTGGGTTATCTTACTTCTTTAAGGGTGGAATTCTTATAAGAATAAAGACAAGAGGACTGGCTTCTAGTCCTGTGTGCTATATGATCCTGCATAAATTATCTACCCTTTATGGACTTCAGTTTTCTCATCAAGAGGATGAATTGGACCAGGTGACCTCTTCCTTCCAGCTCTAACATTCTATGATTCTGTGATATCTCTTTTAGATGTGATGGGCATATTCTATACACAACTGTTCGTTGTTATGTATTTGTTGAAGGAATGATAAATGCAATTTAATACTTTGAGAATGGCTATTGGGATCAAATACAGCCAAGCACATTGTCAAAAGCACTTGGCTCTATTCCATCACTTTTGCTACTAGGATTTGGAAGAATAACTAAAACATATGTGCCAACACTCTCTATGAGCTTCTTTTAAATATTAAAAAAAAATCGCAGCAAACATTTTTACTTAGTTTATAGAGTGAAAATTACTGATCTCCGTTTTGCTCTATAATAACCTAATTTATTTATTGTCTAAATTAGGGTAAGCAAATTAGTCCATGAATGAATTTCCTGGAAAACTGAAGATTACCTCATTTAAGTGTAGGGGTTATTTTCATATGAAATATTTTCAACAGAAGATATTTAAAAAGCAACTATTACACATTCTTGTGCTTCCTTAACCAAGGTATTTACCTCTTCTTGATTACCTATAACGTCATCAATAAGCAAAACAGTTATTACACTTTGTCAGACTATATTCTGGTCCCTAGAATGAAACTCAAAGGGCCTACTGGAGTGCCTAGGTCTATTTGTCCCTCCACTGAATGTGCACAGACCGCTGTGCTGAATAACCCAAGAGTAAACAGAAGACCACTGTCTACTTATATTTCCTCTTGCCAGCTGTTATATCTCATGATTGCCTGCGAATCAAGTGGGCTCTAATCTGCTCCTTTATTTTAGGTAAATGGCTTGAGGATAGCTTCATCTTTTCAATTAAACTAAACTATGGACTCTGTGACATCTGTTTTTCAGTCGGAAGCTGTTTCCATTTATTTCCAGACTCATGGCTATGTTCCATATGGTGGTGTTGCTGGGAATATGATTTGTAGAGAAGCGGAAATTTCCTCTACTACCCTATCAAATCTTCAAATAAGATACCAAATGTAAAGGAGATCTAAAAATTATAAAGCTATACAAAACAATAATCATTACTACCACTACAACTATATACTATGATTCCACACTTATCAGAAAAATGTAGAAATTGAGCTCTAAAACTTCACTTTCATTGGTAAAATAATTACTGCATATACTTGAATTTTCTTACTATAAGAACACATGAAACGTAAATTTATACTATGGAAGACATGCACATATATATGCACACAATAAACCCTGAGGCATTTAAAAAACTTGAATATTCTAAAATATTACATACTGGTACTGGCTATAATATATTTTAAATCTTTCACATGCCACTTGTATTTTAACAACAGAATGTCAGTCACTTCTAATGTGAATTTTAATATATTCCATAGAATCATTTGGGCTTTAGAATCATATTTTATAAGCCATAACACAAATGATACAATAGGTTCTTTTCCCACTATTTTCAACAAATACTCTTAACTCTTACACCCAGACTTAGGGAGAGAAACTCTTCCTCTCCTGTCCAAGTGTTTCTGCACATGGGGATAACTGGCTTCACTTAAGGCCCATCAGTGTTGCCAGTTGACAGAATCCTTTAGAGAGACAACAAAACTCTGTCTGTCCTGCTCATCCCAATGAGGGGTCTGTGAAGTTGATAACAGTAACCCTGCAATCAGTTAGCAAGACACTACTCCAAGAACAATTGTCCATAATCCAAAACTTTTATAATTAAAAAAACAAATCAGGAAGTTTCAGTATTACTTTGGTTATCTAACATTCTTATTTCATAAGAAAGCAAATACTAACTAAAGTCAGCATAAAGTTATTAATATTACTGAGAATTTTATACCACTTCTTAAATACATCCATATTATATCTAATTCTAAAAGCAATTACCACTATACTGAGACTGCAGGGTTTTCATGGCTCATTAACCTTTATAACTCTGGAGTCTGTTTCATAAGGGGGCCTTTGTAAGTCCTAGGTCTTGCTTACCTAACCTAGGGTTTTTATTAAAAATGTTCCTTGAAGGCTTCCATTTCCATGAAAACGTGCTAGGATTCTTTGCAATTAAATCACAGGAAGAAGTTGACTTCAGCTATCTTAGGTTCAATTTATCAAGTTTTTGTTCATATATAAGTTTGAATATATGTTATTTTTGGATCAAACTTCTTTTTTCCTTGATCTCACCATCATTGCCACTGTGAAGTGCTGCTATGCATAAGTGCAGAGACCACACTAGAAAGTAAAAGCAGTAAGTGTTGCCACTAACAGGTGGAAAAAATAATCATAACCCAAAACAATAAGTTTATTACAACTCACACAAACTCTATCTCCAACCATAAAAGGGACTGTCCTATGACTTATTTTAATATTTTTTTCAGAGCCCTTCTTAATATATTTCACTGACAATACCTCAAAAAATAGGGATCAGCAATTTAAAAATTAAGATTGAGAACCTGTAAATTAAAATCTAAAACCCTTAAAGATACTTTTATATAATGGCCAATCTTGACCTGACTCCTCAGTCTGGAACACTCATACTGGAAATTATGACCGTGCTAAAACCACTTAACAAGTGTCTTTACCTCCAGTCTCATCCCATAAATATGTCTTGCCCAAAATCAAAAAGTCATCTCTAGAAAAAATCTGAAAGTTTCATTGTTTTGCTTCAAAGCCTTACACAGCTTCAAAGCTATGTTCCGTACAAAGAACAAACTTATTAGCTTCCTATACAACCCAAATCCCTTAATCTATGATCCAAATTACTTTTTAAATCTCATCTGCCACTAAACAACTCAATCTTCTTCTCACTTGTCCTGCAATACCAACCTCGCCAAAACAGAGAGCATTTACCAAAGACATTATGGACTTTATCCCTCAGTGCTTTTGTTTACATTATTCCCTCTGCCCGAATGTTGCTCCATTTTTCTGATCCCTCTAAGTCCCTACTCAAATAGCACTTTCTCTATATAACTTCCCAATTCTCCTTCTCTCCGAGTTTGCTAAAAATTCTTCTGTATTCAAATAGTTCCCTGACCAAAGCTTTATTTTAGCACTTCTCAGATTGCATTACTTCAAAAAAAAATTCCCATGTGCCTCCCCTTCTAATTTCTTAATTCCTCAGAGGTAGGGACTTGACTTATCTCTGCACACAAGGCCTAGCACATAGAAGTGACTCAATCAGTGATGGCTGACTAAATAGAAAAAGGACTATTGCGTGATATATTCTTTCTCCAGCAGTGACTTAGAGCTAATGCTTCTGACTAAGCTAGTACGGATGTGGAGGAGATCTGGCCAAGGCGACTAGCCATCCCAGATCAATGGATTAGGCAGACTGATGCAGATCATCTGACTACCTATGTGTAGGCCTCCTTTCTCCTGCCTAATTCTGCATGCTCCATTGAAAAGAGAAACTATAACTACTGTCATGGCTGAGCTATACTGGTAAAGAGGGAGAGATTTTTTACTTTATTTACTCCAAACTGTGATATAAGTCACATGAGACTAGAAGGCCTTTGGCTGTGTAACAGTATTATGGGCTTGTGCAAATCATTTAATCTCTCTGGGACTTATCTGAAAAACAGGGCTATTAATGCTTTGATTGTCACAAGGCTGTGGGGCCAGACTAGACCAAGGTATTTTTCAATTCTAAGATCTATGATTCTATTCATCCATCCATCCATCCATCCATCCATCCATCCATTCATGAATATTTGAGATCTCTTACAGCTCTACTATCTACAATTCTACATCTATGAAAGTTAGATTCAAAGAAAATGTAAGAAGTCCCAAACATTGTGTAAGAATTTATACTGTGTCAAAAAAGAATGACTTGAGGGACGTGCAGAATAGCAAGTAAGAAATTCATGAATATTGAAACAAGTTTCTCCAGTTGGTATTTGCTTGGGTATGCTCCTTATGATTTGTGTTTAATTTCCTTGTCTGAATAGTTTGGGATGTCACATTTAACCTAAAAAGCGCCAGTCTGACTGATAAGTAATTTTAAAAGATTTGGAACGTAGATAGGATGAATGAAATTCTAAATCATATTTGAGAACTGTCCATAGTAAAAGCAGGCCAACAATAGTGACAATTCTTGCACACTTAGGTATTTGTTCTATTCGTTCAGACCAAACATCTAAAGAAATACATAGCTTTGACATGTCAGTGATAATTCCAGAGTCTACCTTTGTTTCTGTTGCATGGGTTGTTGTCTCATAGCCATATACTGCATGTCTTCTTGCAGACGGTTAAGAGGGGAATCTGGCTTGACACGAATCCCATAGTAATGGTACTTGGAGTTTCCTCTTCATAAAATAACAACAAACATTAGAGACACAAAAAGTCAGTCAAATCTATATTAATCATATAGGATGTCATTTAACTTCACATTTGGAAAAATCAGGTAAAAGCAGCACATTAATGTTGTATATTTATGATTTACCTGTTCTGGATACTTGTATATTTTTATGATGGCTACATTTGAAGAATCAAAATAAGATTCGGAATCAATCAGCTCAAAGCCCTAACAAAAATCTTTCTTTATAAATTTTTACTTAAATATTTGTCAAATAGTCCATTTATTCCATTTAAGTTATATTTTATTTTCAAATTTATGTTTTAAGTTTAATTTAGAAGTGGTAATGGTGGGAAAAATTTCTGGCCAATAAAAATTCATTAATAGGATAAAGGGTTGCACACTAAACAGGAGTGTATTATAAAGTGGTTATATAGAAAAAACAGAAAAAAAATTCTACTGTCTTGGATAAGTTCTGCATTTTTCTAGTTCTATTATTGCAGAAATGATGAAGATAACTCCGTTGATACAAGATGTTGTGGTGAAGTCTATTATTTAATATTTTGAAACCTAAAAAAAAATCAATGCATTTAATTTATTGATTTTAAAACATATTTTATTAGTTTCTGTTTCTATGGATTCATATCAGTTATGCAGGCTGAATAAGATGTGTCACAACAGATATGGAGAAATTTCTCTTAAAATGGCAAATTTCCACCTGGAATAAAATGTCACAATTTCCCCATGTCCATGAGAAAGACCATGTTTGTTATTAGAAACGACAAAGTTTTGCTTTGAATGAAATTTTCAAATTCTTGCAAAAATAACATTTTAAATATGTAAATTTTTGCAAAGAGAAAAATAGTAGTTTTTCACAAGTCTATATATAGCAAAACATCAGTGCTCCTTCCAATTTTTTCTTTCATTTACAAAAAGAAATGCAAGGGGAGCGTGGATTAAATATTTTATATAAAAATAGAACAGAATTTTACTTCCAAAATTAAAAAACATATATTAGATGAAACTTATATATTTGAAAAGACATCAAAATCTGATTATACAAATAATATTGCTAGTTTTACAAAAAGTAGAGCATCTGAATATCTACACTGTTCCAGCAAAATAAACCAGTAGGAAAACTTAATGCCTATAAAGAAAGGCCTTCCATTTGCAGAGATTAGATCTTACCTCCAAAATCCACTGCAGAATAGAGCAAAAAACAAAAATAAAAAATACCACAAACCCAATTAGTAGGTTCTCCCATAGGGAGTAGAGGTAGGGGTGGGAAGCAGAAGACATTAACCAGGGGACTTGGCCGATGACAAAGGTACAGAGTAAAATGTCTCTCTTGTGAGCCTCCAAAATAGATGAAGTGTCTAGTTTCTTCTCAGCTTCCTACAAATCGGCATTTTGGTTGGGTTGGTGGCGAGGTGTTTCTTTCTATTTCTTTGGAGATGTTCGGGGGAGATCAGCATGTCCCATGGTCTTCTCTGCTTAAACTTAACTTGGAAATGGGATCTAACAAAAGGTATCTTTCGATTTGCCTTTGTTTAGAAACATGGTGATTTTATTTACTTTTTATTTAGTTCCAAAAACTTGAGAAAAGGTCTGGTTCTGGTTTGAATGAATTCACCAGATAATTTTATTAATGGAAAAATAACAGTTCATTGTACAATTCGCTTACAAAAAAAAAAATGGTACCTGAGTTAGTTTGCCTCATGATTGATACTAATTTTCTTTCTGTTCCCTGGGTTAGGAGTGGAAAGTGAATGCTAAAACAGTTTCTAAGGTAGAAAGAATCTTTGGTACCTCAACCCCTAGCATGGTCAGTTTTTCTATATTAGAGTTCTGCTATCTTCATAACACAGCATTTGTTTAAACATTCCCCATAGGATTTCTTTTCTCCTTATTCTTCTGGGCTTTGCTTTCCACCCCTAATTGCAAACACTACATATAATTTTAAAAGGAACAGGAGACATAATTGTTACATAGGGGCGGAAAGAACACCAGAAAGTAAAGCTGCAATATTGCAATATGTACTTATAGAGTATGGATTCTACTCATTCAAAACCCAAACAACCCCAATTTTGTCCCTTTCTATTTTAAAGATGTGTTTCAAGGTTTCAATGGAGCTTCAAAATAGGGTCTATTGAAATCCCTTTCAGTAACAAAAGAAGCACAACAATACAGCTATTAGAATGTTGAATAAAGCCCAGCGTTTTAAAATACTGGCACAGTATGCACAGCTACTGAGCCATTGGCTAGGAGATAGCAGGTTAGGTCCCGAAACAATGATTTTCGTGGTTCTGGAAAAAAAATACTAGAGAAACAAAAAGCTTTTTTCACGGGACTGAAAGCTACTTCCTTTAGTCTGAATAGACAATCATATTCTCCAGTTTAAAATACACTATCTTTCGAAGTATAGGTAGAAGAAAATACGTTTCTGAGAGAACTGAACCTCCACAATCTGAAAGCTGTGCAATCATGTGAAATGCGACAGAAAGGAGTAATTCATGCTTTGAATACATATAGACCTTCTAAATCTCATAAAATGGACACACTCATCTTTTCAGTATAAATTTATAATGAAGTCAATTACTAAGGGTTTGTTTATTTTATTAAGAATATTAAGAACTCTTTACTAAAATACTATGAAGCTGTGACTTGTAACTAATTAAACGTATATCATCTAATGTTATACAGTGTAGCATCTTTATTTTTATACTTTTTCATATGGATTTCTGTAAGATTTAGGAAATCAAAAACATCCATATCTTTCTGCTCAGCTACTTAAAATATTTGTTATAATTTGTAAAAATTATAGAAAGGCAAAAACGAAGCTCCACAGTTTTAAGTATTATTTTCATCACATTTTGATTGGTAAAAACACTCATATCTATTTCCAAAGGAAGGAAAGAGAAAAACTAATGGTCTTCTTCATGTTACTGGCTTCTATGCAATGAAACTATACTATAGTTTACTTCCATACATGTATGGTTTCAAAATCAAGAGCGCAAAAAAGGCTAAAAAGAGGTTAAATAGGACCACGTCATTACTGTGGGCTTCAAACACCCAAATTTTGCAAGTTCACCAAATGATTTTTAATTGGTCTCCAGAAACGAAATGAAAAACTCAGCTTTAATTTCTTACTCTATTCAAATAGAAGAGTTATTTATAAAGACATATCAATGTAATTTTGCAAGAGTCAAGAGATACATAGTTTTCCATTTACTATGTCACTTTACTCATCATCTTTAGTATAGTTATTTTCAAAAAGAGAAGATAGTGATATATATTAAATTTTAAAGGATCATAGGTAAATCTTAAATTAATAGTTTGGTCTGCTCAATTGCATGTGATCTGAGAATCAGCTCTTCTCAAAACTCAGTTGATGTTTAGGACAATGAATATTTTGGTTTGGTGGTATTCACTGAATAATGACATTTCCTTTTCCTGAGGTATTTTATAAACTGAGGTAATCCTGTATTTTTTTTTTTTTTAAAGATTTTATTTATTTATTTTTTCCCCCCAAAGCCCCAGTAGATAGTTGTATGTCATAGCTGCACATCCTTCTAGTTGCTGTATGTGGGACTCGGCCTCAGGATGGACGGAGAAGTGGTGCCTCGGTGCGCGCCCGGGATCCGAACCCGGGCCTCCAGCATCGGAGCGCGTGCACTTAACCACCAAGCCACGGGGCCGGCCCTATCCTGTATTTTTTATACACTATCTGTAATCAAGTACTTTTGCTCAAACAATATACTGAACTGCTCTAGTCTGCAAAAGAGAGATTAGTTTATGATCTTATTTTTTAGTACTAACCTAGTTCCCAATCTCCTTGTTCGCAGCCCCATAAAAATTGACCTTATTAGTTTTCCAAAAGAAGCAGCATTGACTGGGTCCAGTTTGTGTTCCTGACAGTGTCGCAGGTAGTGGTTGTATAGAGTGCTTCTGGGAAGGCTCACTCCTTCTGCTGTCTCATAGTTATCCAACAGCCACTGGAGCTGGTATAAATAAGACAGGGCAAAAACACAGAGAAATCATATTATTTACCAAAACGTCTAAAAGACACTGCAAATAATATACAGAAATACTTAGAAGATCTTCATCAAGCCTTGTAATAGGGTACACTGTTGTAATTCAGAGGCCAGTCTAATCTGATTTTGAAAAACACTCCGAAATGTAAATAGCAGGACATCACTTATGACCTCAGACTATGTCCATTCCTTCAAACATTCAAGCACATGTAAAAACATACAAATTTTCCCTGTATTTCTTGCTATTTTGGCGACAAACACTTCTCCGTGTAATTCAAATAATCCCATAACCGGTCATAAATATAATTTGTAATTGCTACAGAACAAAACATGTTACCAAGCCTGGCAGCATGGCACATAAAACATCTTTAGCATTGGTTTGCTATAACACATGAAGAGCAGGCTGCCTTGTATGAATTTTATATTAAGGTTCTATTCATTTTTATAGAATTCTGATTTACTTATCTAATTTACTCACACAAGATAATACAACAATGGTATCTATGGGACAAATTCTGCAAGTAGAAAGGAAAAAATTCAGTCATTTCTTTGCCAGAAGGAAGCAAACTCACTAGATACTGGTAGAAAAAAAAATTATTTGTAATAAAAAGGAGTCATTTATACAATCATTTGAATTTTTCTACCTCAAAGCTATGGTTTTTTCATAAAAAACTGTAAAGTGTCTCTGCGTGTATTTTTAAAAAATGATCTTTGAAGTATAGAATGTGAAGAAATTTTTAGAAAATCTAACCTAGGTTATATTATGGAGTTTCAACATTACCAAATTAAATTATTCATTTGTTCATTTATTTATTTACAAAAAGAGAACTGAAATAGATTTAAATGACTTTCTTAAGGTCCCATATTGTCTCAGTGCTTGAATCTGGTTTCCAACACCCATTTCCTGATTACTTGCAAACCAGTTGTCATTTTCACAAAAGCAGCAAATATTTCACATTACTTGTCTCAACAAACTTTTCACGCCATATGTAAGAGGTATCATAAAGAGTTGATATTTTACATCCAAATATCAATTCAAGTTAAATATAAGTTATGGAAGCCAATGAATTCCTTTACTGAGCATCAACTATGAGCCAGGCAATGTACTAGGCACCTAGTGATGCAAAAATGAATGTGATCTCACCCTTGTCCTCTAGGAATTTGTAATCATATATCCCCCAAATGATAATATGGATACTGAAATAAATTAAAGCATTTCTCCATTTTGCTTACATATTTTAAGATTTGTGATCAAACTCAGAACCTAAACTTTCAGATTCTTAACAATAAAATTCATTAAAAATATTTTCAGAATTATTGCCTTTAACCATGACAAATAAGTTTTCCAGAACCATTTTAATTTTAAATATTCCTACATGATGCTTATTTAATTAAACTTACGTCATTAAACTCATACTTAGGTTGGCTTAGAAAATATGGCCACCAAGTTTACAAGACAGAGCAGAGTACTTTTAAAAATAAAACTCATGTTCTGGTCAGGAAGACTTAAAGTTGTCTGTGCACCACATATGTATATGAATATGTACATCTAAACATACCTACTGCCTCTGTAACATATAAAACTCTCCTCTACAAAAATTTTAAACGATTATACAAAATAAACATTCATGTTTATAATGACAAAAAAAATATATAGATCAAAAAGAAGTTTTTTGTTATAAATCACCTGTAACCTTACTGTCAGTAAACAAGTTTTCCAGAGGCACTCACATATGATTTCTGAGTGTTCTAAATGACACAGAGAATAAATTTACCTATACATATTCATTTAGTGTAAAAGAGAGGAGGTAAACTGATGGGGAAACCAAGTTATTAAGGTTAAGACCAGTATCCTGCCTACAACAGTGGGTCAGGATGTCTCCTTAGTGTTTCTCTTAAAATTGTAAGACTTTGTTGATTATGAACACAACTGACGGAGACAACACACAGAATGCGGCAATACAAACCTGCCTCACATAGTTCATCCCCGAGCCTCAGTAAGGTGACTGGGATCTGAAAGCATTGATTCCTCATGTGAATGGTGTAAGGCAGCTCTAGTGAACCATATTGCACGAAAGTGCTGGCTCTTGTTTCATGCACATATACTAGATAGAGCCTTCCGTTGGTATTATTAATATATTAAGAATATAGAAATATAGAATATAAAAATATAGAAAGGAATATTCTTTGAGGAATTCAATTCCTTGAGATCACGGAATATAATGAAAACACGAAGAAAAATATTTCCAGAAAGGCAAACACAAAAACTGTAAATATTTTTTGAAAAACAGCAATATTTTGCAACTGAACTAATGAAGTGTCCATATCCACAAGCATGGAACATACAATGTGTGTAAGTTAAAAATGCTAAAGATATGTTTGCATGTATATCTATGTATCCTCATAAAATAATGCATACTGTCAAAGCCAAAATAGTATGAATTCTATTTCTTCCTTTGGTAATGAACAGAACATATTTCTATATAGGAAGTGTTAATTTAAAAGATATTCTTTTTTCAGAAGTGGAAAATAATCAATTTCATAACATTAACTTTATAACCAAAAGTATATAAATAATAAAAATACATCTGATGTAAAATACTGTACATAAGATATAAAGTAAGTGAAAATAATTTGTTTAATTAACCAGATACAAATAGAAAATATTTGTAAACTGCCTTAACTGTTTACTAGTCTTCTGATATTTAATTACCTAAAAGTAAAGACAAATATCTAAAAATGAGAGTTTACTAATTTCTCATAATCAAGTAAATTGTCTTGTAGATAAAAAATTTTATGAAAGAATTTGAAAAAGCAAATCCACTAATAAAATATTTGAAGTGTACTATCATAAATTGCCTTTTATAAAACTGAAAACTAGTACAAATATTAAAGTTCAATATAAGATATTTTGAAACCAAAGGTATATTTACATATGTAAAAGAGTTAACCAGACCATTCTTAAAGAAAACTTTTCACGGAAATAGTGAGATAATTATAGCAAAAGTTGGCTTAAAACGCTCAGAAGCTAAATGATTTACTCAAGCCCCAAATAAATAATTTAGAGAAAACGAAGCTTTTATTCGATTGGCCATGTGATCCTCTGAAACAGCTAAGAAAGTCAAATAATCTGGACTGTTTTGCAAACTGATCATTCTTATTATATAGTTTTACATTCTTAAAGATTCTTCTTCATTTCTTTCTTTTTTTTTTTTTGTGGGGAAGACTGGCTCTAAGCTAACATCCATTGCCAATCCTCCTCTTTTTGCTGAGGAAAAGATTAGCTCTGAGCTAACATCCGTGCCCATCTTTCTCTATTCTGTGTATGTTGTGCCGTCACGGCATGGCTTGATGAGCGGTGCGTCGGTCTCCGCGCCCGGGATCCGAACCTGCGCATCCTGGGCCGCCAAAGTGAAGTGTGCCAACTTAACCACTATGCCATTGGGCTGGCCCCAGATTCTTCTTCATTTCTAAACCAGTTTTTAAAAATCTGAGTTTATTTGTAACATATATATATGTGTGTGTGTGTATGTGTGTGTGTACCTATATACATATGGGTATGTATATATTTACATATACATATGTATATGATGTATTATATATATATATATATATATATAAAAATAAAATAATCATTAGTTGATCTGAAAAATTCCACAAGGCTGGGTATTCTGGTGACTATAACTTTGACAGTAGCAAGGCTGTATTTGTTCCCTGTCCCTTGTCTGTAGGAGGAGGAACTTGCCAGAAGCCTAGAGATCACTTTGGAAGAGCAGAGGAGGTCAGGTGGAGGTAAAAGCCCTGAAGGATGGAGGTGGCTCTGCTGCAGGCATGACTGTCCAGCTAGGAAGCCTGCCAACAACGGTATCACCTAGGAGTGGTGCTCCTAGAAACTCACCGTGTAAGTGGAAACTGACGTAGGACCTACCAGATAAGACTTTGAGATTTAGCTGGGGATTATAATCTGTATTATACATGCCAGTATTTAAGCTTCAAGTTTTGACACAGTGATGAAATTGTAAATCAGACATTTGAGTCTAAAACATAGCATAAGAAAGGCTTAATTTTAATGTAAGAGAAACTTGGCAGTTCAGTGTAACCTAAACGCATGCACTCCACGTGCTGCCCAAGGGAAGTTAATGCCTATTATAAGATATATTGTTTCCCTGGGTTTTGTCTTTAATAAAATGTATTTGGACACTACAATTCAATATCCTTAACATTTAGTAATTTAGAAATAAACTATTACTATTTCTTTTACTCTTTTATAAAATATTTGTTTATATTTAGATTTTAAAAACCCATAAAATACCATAGGAACTTTTAACCTTTATCTTTAAAACCTGATTATTCTACTAATGGACTAACATAAATTCACATAAGGGTGGAAACCAGGATAATTGCATCTTTCAACCTTTTCATTTAATCTATATTAATCAGGGTAGATTAAGGAAGATGAATAGTTCCTATTTTTCCCAAAGGGAAATACTGATTGACAAATAAAAAACATATATATTGCATTCCCCAATTAACATCCAAATGTAACATTTGGCATTTTTTCCCAGATGGATTATTATCCATTAGGATTCATTTTAAGTTCAGGTCACTAATGATATGCATTTTGACAGGTCTTATTTTTGTCATAACTTATATTTACAATACAGCAAAGTCAAGGCAGAGTGGATATAAAACAAGGTTTTGCTTTGAGCTGAATATATTTCAGTAGCTAAAACCAGTAAAAATCATGAAACAATTATTCGCTAGATTGTAAAAACCGTATAAAACAAATGCCTAAAGCTTTTTATGTACTTTAAATGGAGTTTTTAAAAAATGCAAAAACTTAAGAACATTATGTGGGAAATTGCGAACAATTAACTTAAGAACATTGCTGCTTACATTACCTTAAGAACATTACAAACTTACAATCTAAAATATCCCAAATTGGATACAATATAACCATTAAATGTCAATTTATATTAATTACAACTGAGAAGAAGTGTAAAATAGACTGAAGTCCGCAATGAAGAGAATTAAGATATTCTAACTTGATTTAGGCAGACTATATATCATTTACCCACAGGATCTTCACATACAAAAAATTTAGAAATAAAAATATTTAAATAAAAATTATTATACTAAGAGACTGAATTCTGTAAAGCTAAATCAAAGGTACCATTCTAAAATACAAGAAGATAAATGATATCATGCTTGGCTATAATTTTTTAAAGGATTAAATTGTATGGAGAAAAAAAAAAGTTGTCTGCTCTTAAACTGAAGGTGGCACATGGGGAAATGATAAGAATGACCATATATTCTTTCATTCAAATGGTATGCAGGGATAAGAGCACTCTCTACCAATAATGTTCACACATACACCTACTTAAGCATACTTGATATCAAAACAATGCATGTATGAGTCCCCAAATAAACACATACATGATTGGCAAAGGTACTTACAATACTGAAGGTAAAACAGGGTCTGTACCCTTCTGTTACTCACTTCTTATGTTCATTCATTTAGTAAATATTTAGTTAATATCTACTATGTACCAGGTACTGTTCTAGGCACCAGAAATGCATCAGTGGACAAAACATATAAAATCCTTACTCCTTTGGAACTTTCACTTAATAAATATTTACTGTCTGCCTATGTGATGTTACTACTGAAATAATTGCCATTATGTTAATATTGTTAATAGAATAAAACATGACATTCATGTAACTGTACTCAGTCACAGATGGAGCTCTACATAGGGTATGAAATAGACAAGTTTTACATGCATTTCAATCTGGATGATAATAGCCTGATAACAATAAAAATAGAGCAGCAGTATCAAATACTCTTAAGAATATGCTGAAAATGGGATACAAAATTTAATCCCCCACTCCATCTACTCATGTGTAGAAAGAAAGGTGAAAAACAAAGCAATCAAGTTGGATCCTAATGAGAAGGGATTATTTATTTGATTTGACCATTAACAAGAATTTTCTGAATTACTGTGAATAATCAAATGTATAAAGAGAAAATAGGAAATCCATCTATTCCATTTTCCAATATAGAATGACAACAGACTTTCAGCTCAAAAATCATGATTAAGGTCCCTCTTTAGAAACTAGTAAATACAGGACACAAATTATTGATAATTTCCCCTAATTTTTTGCATAATGAAATTGATGCTTTGTAGAAACTGGTAAGTTAGGGCAGTACCATCATAAAGTTGAATCATGTCCACTTGAAAGAATCCCACAAACCTTGAATAATTCTATATTACATCCTATATGGCGAGGGATAAAGGTAACTACAGTTTATTGACACTTAAAATATTAACAGTATTTTTATTTTTAAAAATCTCTCCACTAAAATTTTTCTACACAACTGAAAATTATCAATTAGGTTAACAGAATTTCAAATACCCTTAGCAGGTGGTAATCAACTAGAACGCATGCAGTAGCTTATTCCAGTTGTTTGGATAAATCTAAAAAAAATTAGGAGCATTGCTAACTTTCCAAGGACAGAAAGACAACCGGATCTTCTTTTGTGTTCAGGGAGAGACAAAACCTGACTGGTCAGCAGAAACACGGATCCTATCTCCACTGTTTACATACCATCTGTAAAATCATTTGTATTTCTAAAGACTCAACTATAAATGTGTTTTCAAATGAATTTAACTGTACCTCAGAGGTGTAATAAAAATGAATCAGGACATCTAGAGAAAGATTAGCACTGCATTAGCAACATTTACGCCCACTCTTTCTATACACTGAGATGCCTCTGGCAGTTGTAAACAGTATGGAAGAGTTGCCATGCTAGATAATAAAAAATAGGAAGCCACGGAGTAACAAACATTTATGCAGCTTAATTTACACATTTCATTAACACTGAATATCACTTCATGAATTCCACAAGAGAATAATACTTTCAAAGAAACCCCAACATGTTTGAAAAGTTTCAAACAAATCAATAAATAAAAGTATACCAAAAACATGTTCTTATATCTATATTAGTGTTCATGAAAATACTAAACTGAGATAGGTAATTCAAGTTAAAATTAAATATATCACATATTTTACTAAACTACATATCTCAAATGAAAATGAAATGTGAATTGAATATCAAAGCACAACTTCTTACAAGTCTGAAAGTCCAAAAAAGGTAACTGGAAACTTCAGGTGTTTTTTTTTTTCTTATGTTCCTGCACTTTTTTGACCAAAAATAAACAACATTTCCACTTGCCATTTTCAAAACACAAACACCAGTTAGTAATCACCCCCTCCCCAAAACATATACCCTAACAGAATATAGTAAATCAGCCTTTTCACACAATCACAGACTCATGCTAACACAGCAGGGATATACTTATGAAACATATGAAAGAGTGGTATATTACATACAAATTTTCAGAAAGGGGAAAAATTACATTCCTCAAACTGTTTCAAAAAGAAGGGCCAAAATATATATTATTTTAAAATTTATAATCTATAATTTTCACCAAAATTGCAGGCATTCTCTAAATTGGCTAACCTATTTTTATTTGCCATACTTCTCCTTGGATAAAAACAAGACAAAATACTTCATCTAAAAACAAATGTGTAAGAACATAAGGAAGTATTTAGTGTTATGTTGGAATATAAAATTTAAATCTTTGAAAATTCAGATACTTAAAAAGCATAGTGAAGACATTTTCTATGAGCTAAAGGTTATAGGTTTATTGAAAACTAACAATATTTCATTTCATTTGAGTGATTCAATTTTGGACTTTTCAATCACAAAATATGGGGAAGAATTAAAAAAATCATAATAATTTATCCCTAAATTTAAGAATACATTTTTAGCTGGGAGGGAAAACTCTTAATTCTTACTATATTGTCACTGATATTAATTTAGCAGAAGATCTATCTAAAACAGATTTAAGTCACAGGTCTATTAACTTTTTCCCATATATTCAGAAGTCATGGTAACAAAATAATTTTTAATCAGCATTTTCATTGGTTCCCCAACTTGAACATTCAATGAAAATATTTAGTTTCACAAAACTGTCATCATTCTTCTTACACTTACCAGTGTTATAGTGATGCTGCATCTGATAACAGTTAAAAGCTTCAAGAAACAGTAACAGTAATTCTGTTTCATCTCAATTGTTAGCAATTTATGGCTTATCTAGAGCCTCACTTCTTCTTTCGGCCCAGTTCCATTTTCCTTTAGGTCTTAGGGCCTGAGCTCATCTAAGTAGCTGTTTCCTGTCCAACTTATATAGTCTTATTGGCAAGTAAATCATTTTCAAAGAGATTTGGCATTAATAATCATTTTTCCACTTTAACAATATTACTGATCATACAAGTAGACACGGCTGTTTCTGCCTCAGACTTAGAGATGCAGATTACAAGCATCTGCTTCATAGTAAATATCAAACTAGGAAATTTTAAATATTTAAAATCCCCATCAATTACTTTTTACAAATAAATGGCAGCTTGTTATTAACTTGGAAATGTTATATCTGTACCAAAACAGTACAAAAACCTAGTAAAGCAGTATATCAGGGGGTTTTACTTTTTTAGACATTCCACTTTTCAAAATAGCCATTAAGTGATACAGAGATTATAAGGGGTCAAGACAGGAAGATTAAGAAGCAAAATAAATAAGTAAATAAATAAAACAAGCATTTAGAAGCAAGCAACACATGCAGAACAAGCAAGAGATTAGTTTACATGAAGAAGAGGCAACTTACATGGCTGTTGAGAAGAGAGCTTCTGTGAGTGGACAGACCGTCAGACTTTTGCAGCGTCTCAATCGCCATTTCAATCTGATAATAGATGTCATTAAAAAAAGGGCTCAAGACAAGATAGTAATAAAAGGCTCACCAGAGAATTTTTGATAGATTCTTTAAAGTTCAATTTCTTCTTCAATGGTGACTAATGAATAGCTCTCACTAAATGTGTATTTCCCCCACCTGCCCTCCATCCCCAGAAAATAAAATAAAAATATGCACACTAATAAGCCCCATCACAAAAAGAAACCTTTTTGAACATTCTGTAATTATAATCAGAATGGAGACCCAAGGAGCAGGAACCCTGGTGGATTTTTCTAGTTATGAGAAAACATTCTTGACTTTCACAGTTCAAGATGTGGGATGGAAACCACTCTCTTTCTAAATAGTCTCCCACCTAAAGAGTATTTAATATTTGTGTTATTCTGTTATGAAAGGAAAATCATACTGTAGATTTTGTGTTTAACATGCATTAGTATTTTAATGCAAATATGCAAAGACACCTTCACTAATGTTCAAAAGCTACTAAATCTATCCATCCCTCTCTTAACCTTGTATTAAAATTTGGAAGTGGAGGGTCATTAGTACAAACAAACATTAAGATGTAATCATGGTCCCTACATTATACTTTAGGATGTGGTGGTGAGGCAGAGCTATTAGAAATGACAGCAGAAATGGAATGTAGAAGAGAAAATAATTCAGAGCCAACGAAGAAAAGAGACAATCACAGAAACAGTTTTATTCCATGTAATCTCAGCATACCATGAATAATCATAACACCTTAATTAGGTAGCAGGTGCCAATAATAAATGAAATGTGCTCTTGATAACCTCATATTTAAAGATATCTATCTCTCAGCTCCTAGCACTATAGCACATACTGTAAAATCAGGTTCTGAACATCCTATATTTGGTTACTGGAATATATTAACAATATTAACTAAAGTTAAATAAAAAAATCACAGTATGTAAGAGAGAAAATCGATTTCATTATTTTTATTTTTACCATCTGATCAAATCAACAATTCAGTATAAGTAGTTATAAAAAATACTTAAGGCTTTCAAACGTAGTTAACTTACTTACACTTTACATTGGCTATGGAAATTAACAACGCCTTGAAATTTTAACATACTGCCTCCCCCCACCAAAAAAACAAAAACAAAAACAAAACATGGATGGCAATATCCATAGCAAAATATTTTTTTTTGTTGTATCAAATTTCCAATTTCTTTATGGAAAAATACTTTAAACATAGAATGTTTAGTCTCGGTTATATCAACATTAAATCTAATTTTCTTCTAAACAAGTTGGGAATTAATGGCTTTAATTTTATTTTATATTACTTCCCCAAGTTACCGGCTCTTCTTCCCTAGAGTTAATAAAATGTAATACTGAGAAGAATGTTAGGTTAGATATCATAAAAAAAATTCTTAAAATAGATATTAAAATAATTCATAAGATGATATTATACAATTTATTTTATTGTTAATTTTTTTAGATCACAAAATTAAGTAAACTGGCTTCTAAAACATTCTCTCTGCCAGATGGAATGTTAATGCAGTTTATCATTATACTTGAAAATAAACCAAAGACAGTGATATTATATAAGCAAGAAAAGATACATTACAGAAAGAGTAATATAAATGTAATGAGTAAACAAACATCTTACCAAAATGTTAAAGTGTAAAACTATAAAAGATCTCAGTATTATGTATCTTAAAAGGGCGTCAATAAGTGCTCTTGCTTTCCAAAAGAAAATACATCCAAAAACAGCTGAAAAGCCTTATCCTCCTGTGACTTCAAATCACTTCTAGGAAGAATTCGCTCAAAACTCTAATTTGCTAAAATGTCTATATTTTCTTTAAAGTTTGAGTGTGGAAAATTTGAGGTTAGATTTCAGTCTACTAAATAAAAATAAAATGATCTGTATCTTGTGATTTTTATAGGTTTAGAAGAAAGGTAAAATTTTATCAGAAATATAATAGCTGAGCAATACTGAGATAGAAATCCATGTCTGGGCTTGTTTTTTAATCAGCCATTTTAATTTCCTTATGACTAAAGGATTCATGGTTGTTGTCTTTTTACCACTAAAAAGTGGGCATTGTAAGTAAACATTTTCCATGTCTTCCTTAAACTAATTAAGCTTTAGACTATATTTTAGCTTATTTTTTGAAAAACCAATTCTCTGAACTAAGGCACAGCACCCAGTTGTATCTCTTACTAAATAATCATCCTAGGACTGATTGCCAATAGTGTACATATCCTCTCCATGATTATCTAATGCTGGGATACGTGGTGCTTGGGAATTTAGACCGGTTAATGATGATCCTGGACTACTACCTCATAATGAGATAAGAAGCTATGGTAACTCCTCTGAGATCAAATGGTGGGATGCTCCATTTGAGATGAAATGTTCAGGCTTACAGCGCATTAAGTGAGATAATTGGAGGGGGTGGGACTTAGAAACTCTCTATGTGAAAGAGCAGGTAAGAAACTGATATCCATTCCAGCCACTATGGGCACATGACTTCTTAGAAAAATTAATCCTTTGGGGAAGATAAAAGAAGATCCTTAGCGAAATACTTGGGATGATTTAACACCCTCCAGTTTCACCAACTAAAACAGGATTCCCACGAGAATGGGAATCTACTCTGAGGGTGGTTATCAACCGAAGAATAGGAAACCTTGGTCCACTGCTATTGCAGAAACGTTTTCAGAAACCGAAGAGGATTTTGCACTGTGTTTAGACAGGCCACCGAAATGTTAGAGGAGTGGCAGGCTTGTAGGGCAGAAAAGTGATAAAGATCAACGAAAAGATTTCCAGCCTTAGGAATTATATGTGGTCTCAAAGCCTCAGACGCTACCCTGACAGAATGCCTGCAAAGCCTGAAGAGTCAAAGCTCAGGTCATGCGGAGAACTTCCTACGTTCACACACCAGATTTCTTTCTGACCACACATTAGCAGGAAGATGAAAGGACCTCTTTGTAGTGTGCCGAATGACAAGGTTCTATGGAGCATAATTTGAAAATTCAGACCTGGTTGGAGCAACTTGCTGAGAGAGTAGTTCACTACTCTAGAAACTGAGACTTCATCAGAGAGCGCAGGGACTCCCATGAGTTTTGCTGTGAGTGAAGCTTAATTTGGGTGAAGCAAGAGAGGAAGGTAACACAACTTGCTATGAGAAAATAATGTATGGGATGGTGTCACCAGTTAGGAGTTGGAGAATTAAAGTAAATACAGGTGTGACTCAGCTCTCTCAACCAAAAGTTGAATTCTACAAAAGAGAGAATCCCAGGGAATGGTGTAAGTGGGTTTCCCTCATTTGGGCAAAAGGATCTCCACACTAAGTCTGGAGTGCTAATTAGAGACCACACCAACTCCTTTGCGTCTGGTAGAGAAAGCGGCATGGTCACAAATGTGATAAAAATACGACCATGCGGCAAGAAGCAGACCTTAGTTCTTGTGTGGTAGACTCAAGGAAAAAAAAATGCATGGGCTCTGAAAGGCAGAAGAAACCCTTATTTGTTTGGAGTATGGCAAATATGCATATCTGTGGCAGATTGCAACAGTGAAGGAAATCTTCCGCGACTTCTCAGGAATTAGGATCAGAAATTCAGAAGAGGCCAGGGAGATGCTATATTTCATATCCAGGAGAAAAAAAAAGGCTCACTGGAGCTCTGACAAAGATACTGCAAGCCCTCTAAGAAGGACATGAAGAAGGACAGGGCACTTATTACCTGAAAGGGAACAGATACACAGTGTGATAAACACATGGCCTAAAACTCACGCTGCAAACTCTTTTCCAGTCACTAAAACGCCAATGCTGCCTTGTTGGAATCAAAGACAGATAGACAGTGTCCAAGCACCAAGGGTCACCTTGACGTTCATGTGATATCCAACCAAGAATCAGTGTTCCAAAAAGGACTTCAGAGAAAAGTCTCACCCAAGCCCTTAGGAAAAGAGGATGGGAAAGGGGAGAAAAGGGGTCAAAGGATGTCTAGATGTCCCGTAAATATTGTTTGCATTCTCCTTTCCCAAGCTCAGAGAAGGGATCAATATTGTACTTCTAGGGCAGCAAATACTTTTAAAGAGAAAAATGTAATAAAAAATAATTTTCTCCATTATTTATAATTCCCCATTGTTATTTATAATTGGTATTTGCAGTTCCGCATTGCCTTCTAAGGAAGGAGAATTCATAGGATGGCCCTTTGTTTTGCAGAGTTACTGCCAGGCTTAAGTGCTCTGCTGAAGGGTTGAGAGATTTACAGGAGCCGGGGATCTGGGAAGACTGGAGATGAATGCTCACTGGCAGAATGAATGGATAGACTGGGGAGAACAAGGTAGCGCAAAGAGGTTTTGAGTGACCGTGCTCTGGCAAGTGTGATGCTAAAACTTCACCTCTTTTCCCTACAAAATCTTCAGTAAAATCTATGCCACTCACAGATACTCCAGGCACAAGTAATCAAGACTGGCTGCAGCACAGGGTGCATTTAGGGGCATTTGATAAAGAAAGGTAAACCTCAGTTTGAAAAGTAGCGAAATGGGAAGAGGAGCTGAGTCTTTTGCATGAGTTACATGGGGCAAATCCGAGGCTCCCCTGGACATGTGATTTATATATACATTTATGTACATCTATGCAACAGCCCAAGTAGAATATCATATATGTGGACAATTAGGACTTTCTCTTAATGTAAATATCGACCAGTCATTCCATTACATGCTAATAAAACAGAAGGAAAAAGAACAATTATATCATCTTATTCATTGTCTTTATAGGTCAAGGCATATTCACTTGACTCTGAAATGGCTTTTTAATCTTTTTTAAAGACTAAAGGTCAAGACTGATATATTCAACTACCACTATAATTAAAATTGGTCTCATGGTAGAAACTATCTCCTTTCTAGAACTGTTAAAGAAAGCGATTTAAAAATAGAATACTATAATGCTTTATGATCTATAAAGCCTTTTTACATTAATTCTCATTTGATCTTTACAGCAACTTTGTGAAACAGGAAAGGCAAGCAATATTATCTC